ACTCTTTTCGATTTTTTCATGAGAATTTTTTAGAATTGCTATTGGTTTTTTAATATGAAATTTTAGTAATATTTATTATTATTTTTATATATTTATATTTTATTATTAATTTTTAAATTTCTTAACAGTTAATATAATAATAGTTTAATTTTAACTAAAAATAAATTTGGAATGCTATAATTAATTTCTCAAAAACTTATGCATTAACTACTTTCAACAAGTTTTTAAAATATGTGTAATTTAATTAAAAAATATTATAAAATTTTTAAAGTATAAAATAAAAATAAACTTTTTGAAATAAGATAAAACGTTAAAAGAAATTTTTATTTTTTACAATACTTTTTTAGATGATCATAAGAAAAAAAATTATTTTCAAAGTTATTTTTAAATAAGAAATTTTATTTTAATATGACAAGACGGTAAAGTTGGTGACCATATTCTACTAGATGGTCATAAGTGTAAATAAAAATATCAAATTCCAAACTTTCATAATGCAAGGGGGCATTTGCATAGTTGCTTTTTGCAATTTTATACTCATGAATAAAAGAATATTATCTATGGATTTCGTTAGTTTAGATATGCTTATGCTACTGCCTTAAGCAGTGCTTGCACTTGTAACCAAATGGGAAGTGTTTGATATTTTGAATTCTATGAAACCTCATAACACCTTTGATCTAATAGATATTAGGTGATACTTTTTTAAGTCTTTTTAGGAATTTGTTGGTGATGATATATATGACTTGCAAGGGGAGGAGCTCATGAAAGATATGGGAGTTAGCTGTGGAAAATGAAGGTTCTGAAAAAGAAAAAAAAAGTTTACTTGGGTGATATTTTACGGTGCTCTTTTTATGAATAGTTTGAGATTTTATCACATAGATGAGTTAAATATTTGTAGTTATTCTAAAATGTTTGAGGAAAATGTCCTCCATTATCTAGCCAGAGGAGACAAAGACTTTGTTTCAAGTGTTGAACAATCTTGGAATTGAAACTCACTGGTTTAATATTAACTAAGTTTAATATGTTGTACTAACTGAGTCGTATCTCATCCATATCAAAGTCGTATCAGGGTAAATATTTATTTTTCAAGATAAAATAAAAAGTTGGATACTTGGTAAAAAAAAAAAAAAAGTTTACATATTTTGGTATGAATGCTACAAATGATTAAAAGATAGTTATTATATCTCTTTCAATCAAGGAAGAGGGATGGATGCTACAAATGATTAAATCAAATGAGAAAGACAACAAAAATAATGCAGATATTAGTTGTGATGGGTATGCAATGGCAATGCTAACATGGAAAGGTCACCAAGTTGAAGTAGTGAGCAAGCAAATGTTTCCAACCAAGTTTGAGGATGCCTTTGTCCTTGACCAAGGTATAAACCAAATCTCTTAGATAGGAACATACCAAGAAGTAGACTAATGTACATCGTCCTCAACTAAGGTATATAAACCATAACCTTTAAATGCGAATACTTTAAGGAAAATTTTGTAAAAATTTGTGAAGCCAACAATAATTAGTAAAAATATAATAAAATTTGAGATTTTTTCGTAACAAAAATTTTAGGAAAAAAGAGATAGTCTCCTAATTTAGTAAGATAAACTTTTTTGGCCAACAAATAAAATATTTACAATTACTTTATTTCAAGAAAACACATTAAGACTTAATCTTGTGATAAGTTAGATACAGAACTCTATTTGCTAGTCTAATCAACTGTTGAAAAATATTAGTGCTAATTTCTAAAGACTTAATAATAAAACATTACATTTATAAGGACCTTATTAAAATTTTTAAAATTATAGACACTTATTTTCAAAATTGATAAAATTATTAAGACATGTAAATTAATAAAATCTTATATAAAAATATATCATTTAAAAATTATGAATGATCAAATAATAAAATACAAAAAAAAAATTTCTTCATTCTTAATTAGCAATAACAATAACAATTATGCTACCATTATCACTATTTATTACAAGATTATACTTCAGAGCTTATTCTGGTACTAATTATTTACAACAAGATTTGCTAGTGCACCGCCGCCCACAAGTCCTCATCGTGAACAACCATGACCTCCCGTCCTTCTCACCTGAAAGTATATACATGTTTGAGAGCAAAGTTTTAAAAGAAGAGAAAGAAAAAAATAATTTATTTTAAATTTTAAAATTATATAATATTTATCAAAATAAATATAATACTAATATATTAAATTTTGTTTAATTTATTATTTTATATTTTTATTTTAAAAATTCATAAAATTAAAAATAAAAATTTTCTTTGTCTCTTTTTGTTTGAAAAATCTACCTTTTAAATGCATCCTAAATTGCAAATGGGTCTGCTTGCTTGACATGATGATGGTTGTTTGCTTGAACAGATGGGGTGATTAATAAAACTTTGAGGAGTAAGCCGAAAAAAGTGTTAAAGAGTAAAGTAAAATAAGGATAATAGTAATAATAATAAAAGATTGTGAATGTAACAAGCTTAATCGGGTGCCTTAATAAGCTTTGAAGTAAATATAAATGTGTATTTAATTAAACTTTTTTTTGGGTGAGTAATCAATTTTTTTACTGATTATTAAGAAAAATTTTATATAAAAAGTAATTATTTTTTAATATTGTATTAATTTCAAGTGAATAAGAAATCCTTTATAATTAATCTTTACTTTAGATTGATGCATTATTTACTTTCTTAACATTTGTTAACTATAATAATAATAACAATAATAATAATAATAATAATAATAATAATTTCAAGCGGTCAACGAAAGATAATTTTATTTTAAAAAATATTTTATATATTATTGATAAAAGACACTTTTAAATATAGTCATTATACTTGACGTTTATTCTAAAAAAAATATAAAATAATAATAATAATAATAATATAGAATATAACATATTAATTATATTATATTTATAATTTAAATAATAGAATTATTTTACTCTTTTTTCGCCCACGTGAAAAAGCGCTTGCCGCAATTTTTAGGCTATGCATGTGCTACAGTTATCTAACCAAGAGCAGAGAATAATACAGTACTCCAAAAGTTTTTATTATTATTTTCGTTTGGTGATTGCCATGTGGGCCCACGCGCCGGTCCCCTGGTTGAGTTATAGCAGTTTTTGGTGATTTGATATGTAATCAGTAAGCATAGTCAAGCAGAAAAGACATGACATTTCATGAATCTCACAATCTTGTTTTACAATAGAAACCTCATATTAATACATAAAATATCTGCTTATTTAATGTTTTTTAGATAAATCTTTTCATCGACGGGATCTAATTTAAAGTATTCCTTTCTTAGTCTAAACCAATTTGACATTTAAGAGAAATAGTATAAAATCTTAAAAATAGTTCCTTGAAAAATTTTAAAATTTTATTTGAAGAACTTTTGTAATGAAGTGCATTAAGCCATTAAACGGACCTATATTACTTTCAGGGTTTTATAGTTTATATTATTACTTAACCAATTTATTTTATTACTTAACCAATTTATTTTTTGAACAAAATGCTAAACTCTAATGCCTATTGATTTAGATTACATCATATAACACTTTTTTTTATATGAAATATTTTGTGTATAATTTTTTTGTATGAAATGTTTTATGTAGTATTTAAAAATTTGTCCAAGTTTTTCAATTTGATCACTCATCTTGTGCTCAGATTTGTAATTTCATAAATAGATCTTATGACAGAACCAAACTACGATTTGGTTGATGTAACTACAGTCTATGTGGGAGCACTGAATGCTTTGCGCGTGTATCACTGAGTGTATAATTAAAGGATATATTCCTAATTGCGTCTAAAGACATTTGTGAATGTCCATGAGGAAATGATACTTACCATCAATTATTCTGTCATGGCACCTGAAAAAAGTAAGTTTAATTTGTTGACATTAGCTGTTAAAACTTCAGACTTATTTTACCCATATAAAATCAATAAACTTATATTAAAAATATATATTTATTTTATTTTAAATGTAAAATTATAATAAATAATTCTACTTAAAAAATTACTTTTATAATTATCGAAATTAAAAAGAGTTGCATAAGCTCCCACTTCATAGTATGTATACACGTTGGTGGTATTTTTTTTCATATATACCAGTTATTTATTTAAGTAACGATTATTAAAGCATTATATATATATATATAATTTTTAATAAAATAATAAATTTAATGTATTAATATTACTAAATAATATAGTTTTAAATATATATATATATATATAATATTTATTACTTTTTAATCATATATATTTTGACAGATAATTTAAGTAATATTATGTAATTTTTAATAAATTTATTATACATGTGTTCTTTAAAATATAAATTAAAAATAAAGTTATTTAAAAAATTTAAAAATCTGTTTTATTTATTGTTTTTTATATTTTTATTGGGCAAGAGAGAGTAATAGAAAATAATCAATTTTTTATTGATAAATACTCGTGTCATGCACGCTCTCCGAACTGATTATTAAAATTAAAAAAAAACGATAGAAAAAAGAAGCTAAAAAAGTGATCAAAGTCCTAGTATGAACCATTGGAGATCGAGTCAAAGTGTCAAAGCCGCACGCATAATAATTCTAGCTCCACCTCAATCCACGACGATGACAACGGCCACTCACATTAAATATACATTTTCTGTTGAGAATGAGATACTATTTCTATCTCTTCAATAATTTTTTGCGTTTCCGAGGATTGGAAGTGGACCAATACCAACAACACAAGCACAAAACTACCTTGCAATTTTTCATCGAACAATTCTGCATCATCTTAAAAAATAGTTTTAATTAATTTTCTTATTTATTAAATAAATTGTATTTGAAAAATTTAAATATATTTATATTTAATTTAACACATTTTCTGTAATTATTCAATCATTCCATTTTGTGGGCTTCTTGTGACACGTGTCGTCATCTTATCTCAAGGACGATGATGTCAGTGATGAGCCGCCATTGCCCAGCGATAATAAAAGAGGATTCAAGAGAAACGACAAAAGTGGAAGTGTCTGAATAATAACACAAAAACAAAGGACCCTTCTTTACTTTCTTCTGAACGCAGATGTGGCTAGCCATCACCAGTTCCACATTGCTTCTCTCACTTGAATGGACCCCACTTTTGGAAAATCTTGAACTCATCTCCTTCTCATTCATACCCCCTTGCCCCTCTCGACCTAATCCCTTTCCGCATGGCGACAAATTCCCACAACCATAAAATGCCTTCCCTTCTCCACACCCCAAAAATTTCAATCCTCTCTTTTCCTTTTCTATGCCTTTGGATTCAACCCCTAGTTGGGCCTTTGCGTCTTCATGTTCATCCCCACCAAACCCCTTCAACATTTAGCCACCCAAAGCAAATCAATCAAACACATGGGAACCCCTCAATCCAATTTGCCACCAGGTTTTAGGTTCCACCCCACCGATGAAGAGCTCATTCTTCACTACCTTAGGAAAAAGGTTGCATCCTTGCCCTTACCCGTTTCCATTATTGCTGAGGTTGATATCTACAAGTTAGATCCATGGGATTTGCCAGGTTTGTCCCTTTTCTAGCTAAGTTCCTCTTTTTTTATATTGTAATAAAGATTAAATATAAATGCAAATATCACGTGTATGTATGTAGCTATGTTCCATTCAAGCTCACCTTTTTTGCTCATGGTTAATGCTTTGTGGTTGGTTTTTCAGCTAAGGCTACGTTTGGGGAGAAAGAATGGTACTTTTTCAGTCCTCGAGACCGCAAGTACCCAAATGGTGCAAGGCCAAACAGGGCTGCTGCTTCAGGGTATTGGAAGGCCACTGGCACGGATAAGACCATAGTGACATCATTGATTGGAGGAGGAGCCCAAGAGAACATTGGTGTGAAGAAGGCTTTGGTATTCTACAAAGGAAGACCCCCAAAGGGTATCAAGACCAATTGGATCATGCATGAATATCGCCTTGTAGACAACAACAAACCCATTAAGCTCAAAGACTCATCTATGAGGGTAAGTGACCCAATTCCCCAACACCACCACCACATGCTGATCATTATATATATATATATATATATATTCATATTTATATACTGTCGTTATGTTTGTGCAGTTGGATGATTGGGTACTGTGCCGGATTTACAAAAAGTCCAAATATTCTGTATCATCTACAGAGACACCAACAGGGGTGGGTGAGGTAGATCAAGCTGAGGAACACTTATTTAAAGATACCCTTTTGCCAATTTCAAAATCTCCAACCATTTCTCAGAACAACACATTGATATCTCAGAAATCTGTGTCCTTTTCCAACTTGTTGGATGCCATGGACTACTCCGTTCTGAGCAGTTTCTTATCTGAGAACCATTCAAACCCACCAGGGATTGGAACAAGTGCTGGCTTCAATAGTGGGAATTTGGATCACCAATCTTCCCCCATCAACAACTATACCAATAGTTACATGTTTCAGAAGAACCCACAATCGAACCCTTCAGTCCCCAGCTTGGAGAATATCAGGCCAAAGCGCCAATTTTCAAACATAGATGAAGACACTTTGTACCCATCAAAAAAATACCTTAGTTCCTCTTGCAACTTCCCTAGCATCAACGCTCAATATGATAACCCCCAATGGAACTACCACATGAAGCAGTTACTTCTCGGTCCTCATCTTCAATTTCAGGGATAATCAGAAAACACATAAAAAAAATATTAAGTCAGACAAAAAAATTGAAAATAGAAAAAATTATTTAGTAAAATATCCAGAAGTTGATGGGCCCACCAAAGAACCCCACCAATTTGATCATTACGTAAGGATTAGTACATAGAAATTATAGTTTTTTTTTATCCCTCTTTAATTAATTTGTGCTAGAAAATGAAGAATAGTGAGATTACGTTGGAAGGAGGAAGGAATTGTTTGGTAGGGAGTCAAAAGAAAGATTCCACCATTCACGAGTCAAGAAACTGTCAAAGCAAAATATCCAAGTTTTATGAATTAGAAAGAAAATTCGTGTACAAAATGTTAATTTGTACGTGTTGGGGTTGGCAGGTTAGCTTTATAATATACTTTGTAGATAAGGTATTGTAGTGATTGTGATGATATTTTTCATTCTTTTCCCGGAAAGGGTTCCTAGTTACAAATTTTCTTTTCGTTTGTATCGCCACCATTTGCCATTTCATTGCGTTCAAAAGTACACCTTTATCTTTATCATTCTGGCTGTTACTATTCACATTTTTTCATCCATGAACTGCATTATTGAAGCCATATTGAACCTATGTTCATATCTAATTTCACCCCCCAAAATAAATCAACCTAGAATTTGAAAATGGCATCAATTAAGTAGTTAATTAAAAATGTGAATCAGTAGTGCAAGATGTGTATGCATTTCTTCTTTATTTTCTGTCTATTCTTTTAGGAGTGTTAGAAAACATCCTCTTTTAAATACAATTTTTTATTGTCTAAAATTTGTTAAAGTTATATAAATTAGACCCATAAAAAATAGAAGTAAAATTTGCAATTTTTATATATTTTTTATAAATTTAAACTAATAATAAAAAATATGTTTAAAAGAATATTTAAAAAATGTTTTGGTAATAGTCTTTTTCTACCACCCTTTGTTTCTTGTATGTTTTTTTCTTTTAAATATTTAGCTAGTTGCAGAGGGAGCCCCATGCTTTAGACCCCAAGTGGCGAAGTCCAACATTTTATGGTTCCTTTTTAAAGTGTACAAAATCTAGCCAAGTCCAACTTTGCTACACATATAAAAACTGAGCTTCAGTGACTACAGTTGATTAGAAGATTTATTTCATAAAAAATGTATATATTTATTGATTTAAGCTATTTCATGAATTAACATTTCTTTTTCTTTGATCTTTACACATTCTAATTGTTATGTTTCGAAATACATTAAGCATAGTTTATTTTATATATTTTCTTTTGCTGAAGACACAAATACAATTTCGTGTTTAGTGGCGTTGTCAAACTAGAGCATAAGAATCACACAGCTTCTGAAGAAATTAATATAGAAAAAAATATCTTAAAAATTATTAACTTTAAAGAAATACATTTCACCTGAATATATTATTTAAAATATTGTAAAATATATCTAATGCCTAACAAATTACTACTACTAATTTTAATTATAGCAGTTATTATTTCACAACAATAAACCAGAAAAGGCAGACAAATAACTTGGTTTAGAGTAATGCCCGTGAAAATTACAATGAGATTATGAAAGCTAATTACTAAATAAACAATTGTCTTTTCATAAACTCATAATTTATGTATGGAAAATATTAAATAAGTTATTGAATTATTACGTTAGAAGTGGTGAATAAATTAGTAGAATAACAGGAGGCTTTGGATTGAATGTCACGCAGCATCTATGCATTGAATGTTGGCATATAACTAAAGTTGCATGAGGATGAGGGATAATCCTTAACGCGTTTATTTGTAACTGCTTGCCACGTGTTATTGATTAATCTTCATGACTACCAATACAACGCAATTGGTGTGCTCACCAAACTCCACTTATTTTAATCTGTTTTATCTCTTCGTTCCTCGTTTTGGTCAGTCCTACGCATATCGCATGCAAATTTCTTGTATAAATTAAGAACCCTTCTAATTCCAAATTCTCTTTCTATTCTTTAGTGCGAGGACCGTTTAGTATTAAACTAAAATGCAAAAGGTCAGCACCGAAAAACGAAAAGCAAAATGTACTATAATAACATATTTGATAACTATACATTAAAAAAATATTTATTTAATTATTGATTCATATACTATTATTATAATAATCATATATATAAAAATTTATACAATTCATATAATTGACTGTATATAATTCAAGAATCGTCACTTAGTTATATTTTGTACAACCTAAGTAAAATATGATTTATTAATTTATTTTATAAAATGGTTAAATTGATAACATCAATGTATATCTAATAAAAAAATATATCAAATATGTTATTTTACTTTTATATATAAATAAATGAATTACGATCGTCTATCTGGAGGCGCGTCTATATGTATATAGAAAAAAAAATTAAGGAATAAAATACCCTACTCATATAATTTTGAGGACTAAAATTATGTTTAGAATGGTTAGTTTAATTGAATTTAAGTATGTAAAAAAGCTGTTAAAGGCAAAGCAATCTTGTTTGGTAAATGTTAGAAAATTAACTTATAATTTTTATTTTTTTAAAAAAAAAACCTCATTTGTAAATTTATAGAATCCGTGATGAAAAAATCAACTATTACATATAATTTTATATATTTTTTAAAATTTTACCATGAAATATACTTTTTTTTAACAATTTAAAAAAATATTTTAAAATTGTGTTTCATTGAAAATATATAATCATATAATTTTTTAATTATTTATAATGATAATTAATCATGGATATAATTAATTGTCAAAATAATATATTTTTTTATGTTTAATCCAAAAACTAATGGCGACTTTACTAAACATTTGAGAGAAGAGTTGTCATATCCTCTTCTATATATTCTTCTAATAATTATCCTATTATTTTTAAGTATTAAAAAAAACATATTTATAATCTTAATATGATAAGTATTTAATAGTTTTTATTTAACAAATTAAAAAAATATGTAGGCATACAAGATTAAAATATAATAGAATTATTATTGAGAAAACGATGTCCTTGCTGCCTTTTGCTGCTGAAAATTGTGCAACTGAAAAGCTGTTGTGAAGAAAATTTAAGACAGACGACGAGTTCAATATTTATTTTTTTGGGTCAATTATGAGCATTAGAGTTGCAAACTCCATATACAAGATTTGGGCCCTCAAAAGAGTGACCCAATTCAACAGTAAACGACACTAAATATTTTAAGCCGTTTTTTATCCTATTCCTTGGGTTGGAGAATATGGAATAAAAAGAGCTTATTAGCTTGGGTTATGGTCAGGCCTGGTTGTATATAGCCGAAGACACCAAGACTACGTGAACGTTTAAATATCACAATTTCAAGATCCCCCAAAAAAATATATATCACAATTTGTACACTCTAACTTATATTCTTTGTATGTGTGTCTGTATATAATTTTGATAATATTAGGAGCTATTTAAAAGCGTTATAAATTACTTATAAATTTTTAAATACAATTTATTAAAATGTTAATTTCAGCTTATCCTAATAATTTATGATATAAACTATCAATTAAAAATACTTATTTAAATAAGTGTTTAATTAAATTATATATCTAAATAACTAAATAAGTAATACTAGCTATGATATTGGAAAAAGGTTAATTATATTTTTAGTGCTAGGTAGATTATTTTCTTTCAAAAATAATTGTTAATTTTTTAAGTAAATTTAAGAATATTTTTACCTTTTTCAATATTTTAATATTTTTCTCCGTTCATTATTATTTATGAAATGAGAGATGCAAATCCTATTATATATTTTTAATAGCAAATTATAAATATTTATTATTATTATTTAGACTTTAATTGATCGGATTATCAAATAAATTTAGACATATTTAGTTAAACAAACACATTTTACACTTTAGTTACAATGTACAATATTTTTTGCTTGAAAATTGAATGGATACATTACCTGCACTAACGGTGAATACAGTGATGTTGCACTATAATTAAAAAAAATAAAAATTAGAGAGTAATTTTGTATTATTTTAGAGAGCAATTCAAATTAGTCCAACAGATGTACTATTGTATAAAATAGATGTATTTGGAGAGTAATTGTGAAAATCGCTCTCTAAGTATCAATTAAGGGTTGTTTGAAAAGAGAAGAAAGAAAAAATAAATTTTATATTTTAAATAAATATATTTAAAATTAATATTTATTTAAAATAAAATATATAAGTTAATATATTGATATAAACTTAATGTAATTATGAATTTATTATTATAAGTGATATATAATTATTTTGATTTAAGATTAAAATTTATGTTTTTCCTTTTTCTTCTCCAAAACTTCCCTCCCAAACATCCCTTAGAAAGTGATTTTTATAACTACTCTACAAAGTATTTTTTTTAAATTGTGAATCTAAAATTTTAATTTTTTTTTTATATTTTTTATTATAAACCAAAATTGATTCATTGTTATGTTGAAATTCAAATTTGTATGTCAAAAATTTAAAATTTCTTCATTGATGAGTTTATTTTATTACAAACTAAAATTGATTATTTGTCACATTAAAACTCAAGTTTGTATGACGTGTTAACTAAATAGTATTAATTCCAACAAACGAAACACTAACAAACAAAAAAAGAGATACTAAAAAAATGAATGGAGAGAGAAGTGTGAGAAATATACTCAACATTGTGGAAGAGATTAAGCTTGTTAACGTAAAGAAAGATAGGTTGTCATTTTTGTAACAGTGATATATAAACACTTTCCAAAAGTGACTTTAAAGAATTGCTTTCCAAAAGCAACTTAAAAGATCCATTAGTACATAATTGCTCTTTCAAGTCAAATCTGGAGAGCAATTATGTACTAATAGCTTTCTAAAGTCATTTTCAAAGAATAGATGTTATTTTATTTTACAAATGACCTATTCAAAACATCTAAAATAACTTAGTATTACTTAAATAACATAAGTTGTGTGGGAACATATTACCTTGCTAGTATTGATGACCACAACAAGGAATTTATTCTATAACTTTAGTTTACCGATTAAAATTAAGTTAAAAATATGAGGCAAATCATGATAACTAGTAGAGCACTTTGAATATATATATATATATATATATATATATATATATATATATATATATATATATATATGGCATCTATGTAGTCCTAATAATTGTATCTTACCGGATCAAAAGATTGGGAGAATTTTTTGAATGTATTTGGATTGTTTCCAAAATTCTTTGGTGACAGAATTTTTAAAATCTGTATTGTTGAATGAGTGATTATTGAAGGATCTTTTTGGTCCTTGTAATGTTTAATAGAGACAGAATCTGAGTATTAATATGAACTCATAAAATTGTCTGGTTTTATTCAAGGCATATGGTCTAAAATGAAAACCAGGAGGGAAGACTTTGGTAATGGCTTTGTATGGGTTTTTGTCCCAAAATTCAGGTTCCATTTGGATAACAGGCTGAAGTGGATCAAGGAAAGGACAAAGAACAAGCTGAAAGGAAAGTAGGCAGTAGCAAGACTACTAAGTGAAATGTAGGAATATAAAATGCAGAAATTAAATTCTAGTATTAAAACATAAGAAACTAGAACGGGGGTAGAACCGGCACAAATCTAGTAGAGGGAGAAGAGAAGAAAGTCAGACGACGGTAGTCCAAACAGAACCGGCTAAGAAGGAGAAGAGAGGAAAATAATTTGATACAGCAAACTTTTATTGAAAAGATATATATATATATATATATATATATATATATATATATATATATATTAGTTTTAAGTTTTAAGTTCAAGATAGATTTACAGTTTTAAAATAAATCTAAGTATAGAAGTGAGAGCTATTTAGACGTTGATAAGCTCAGATAGTGGTCTTGGTAGTAAGTCCAGGAGATGGCCATAATTATACTGCTAAAGCCATAAGAATATTTATAAAATCACCAAACAATATTACAAAATTACAAAAGTAAATTATGGATTTAAAGCTAGAAGCCTAATCATGAAACAAAGGTAATACAGGCTAATTTAGAAAAAAGTATGGTACAAGTACCTAGAAAACTTAGACATGAATGTGTGTATATATGTGTATGTATGACTGGATAGGCTAAAAATAGGCTAAGTGCCTAAGTACGGGGCGTAACACTAGGCTGTTCTCGCTGCAGCGAGAGGAATCTCGTTGTAGCGAGAGGGCCCTGGGAGGAAGGACCAGAACAGTCATTTTTTCGCTGTAGCAAGAGACGTCTCGCTGTAGCGACAAAGCGACAGTTTGGGGTGCATTTCTGGGTGCAGTCTCGCTATAGCTGTAGCAAGATTCTGCAGAAATCAGAGTGCAATTTTCTCTGGTTATTTCGCTGCAGCGAGAGGGCGTATCGCTGCAGCAAGGTCCCCTCACTCAGCGAGAATATCTCCTTGTAGCGAGAGTGTCGCGACCAGAAAAGGATTTAAAGGGGGTTAGGGTTCGGGGAGAGTTATTTCTCCCTCTCCCTTCAAAATTCCTTTGATCCTTTCGTTTCCAAAGCCCTATTCCACCGATTAATTGCCTCCAAAGCCGTTCGAGAGCTTGATTGAAGGTTAAATCCGTGTGAAAAATGCTTGAAGGTGAGTTTTAATGGTTAGGGTTCTGTTTCTCATCCCCATTTCTCTGTTTCTTGGTTCTTGGAGTTCTCATGAAGTTCTTCCATGTGTTTTAGGCCGAAATCTGTGTAGGGAGCACGTCCGTGGTCAAATCCGAGTGTGGGTCTTCAATCCGAGGTAAGGGGGGACTCTATCTTACTCTTATGTGCATGAATTGTTGTTATTTTGCTGAATATTGTGTTGTGGCTGAGTTAGTGAGTAGGAAATTGCTGAGAAATGTAATGTGGGTCATGTGCCGTGATATGTGAACATGATATGTGTTGATCCGAAATTGATAGATGTGGATTGTATGTAAATGTTGTGTGATAGATGAGTATAGGCACTTATGTCGTATATTTGAATGAATATTGTAAATATATAGGCCCAAGGGCCGTGTAATGTGAACGATAATTGTGGGCTATGTGCCGTGTATAAGTATGATTACTGCATGCGTGAATAGAATATGTGTGAATGAGCGTGTTAGCACCGTTGTAATGTGTTGTGAATGGTTCAGCGATACGCTGAGGATGTGGGAGATGAGAACGGTAGAAATGCCTTGGGGAAGAGGGAGTGGTGATGACACCGACTGCGGAACGGGTGCACTATGGGCTACACACTCTCTTCCTGACTAGACCTCTGACCACTATCTTTGCTGAGCGACCCGTGACTGCCCACGTGGTATCCGTGAGGCGGGAATAACCAGCGACCATTCATGGTGTAAATTTGTGATCACAGTGCCACAGTGAGTGTGGTTGGTGTGTGTGTATGCATGAGTTTTGTGTACTGTACCTATGGATATGGAATGCTGTCTGTGATTGTGTTTTTTTAATGTATTGGAAATGTGCTGGAGGTGAAACTTTACGTTGATTGTGTGTTTTTAGGTAGTGTAACGTACTCACCCTTACATTCATTATTCAGGTAATCAAGATGATCAGCACCGGACTCAGTGAAAGGGTGAATGGAACTGCTATAGAACTTAGGATATTATTTCAGAAAATTGTTGTATTTGAATAAGTCTTATAGCAATTATTTGATATAATTTGTAAGCCCTTCCTTTATTTGAAATGGCTAATGAAACTTGAATTAAAAATGAAAATTTTATTATCTCAAAAATTTATAAAATTTCTTATTTATAAAAATTAAATTTAACGTGTTACAAGAATTATTTAATTAGTTTAATCAACCTTTATATTATAAATAAGAATTAATTATTTAAAAAATGAAACTCTTGTAAAGCTACTTGTCTTTATAATATGCTATGCATATTTTTTAAAATTAAAATTGATTAAAAATGAAATAAATTACATTCTCTCTTGTTGTATTCATTTTATTCTTTATCCACATATTTATTAACTCTATTTTAAATTTTAAAGTTATTATATAACTTTTCTTTATTACCTTATATATATATATATATATATATATATATATATTTGTAAATTACTTATTTTAACATTTATAAAAATTATGTTTATTTTATTTTATATTTAAAATTTACTTTCAAGAGTCTTATTTCTTAAATTCATAATTATTAAAATATATTAATTATTAATATTTAATTATTTTTTTACATTATTCATAAAAATATTATTTTTAATTATTTAATTATATTAAATTTTTATCATTTTGGTACATAATATTTTTAGTTATAAAGTTAAGTTAATTTCTTTTTAAAAAAATTATTTAAAATAAATTTATCATACATATGTAATTATTTAAAAAATATAAATATTTATTATTAAATTATTTAAACTAATAATAATAACAACAACGGTGACAACTTTTTATTAAAAATCATATTTTGACAAAATTATAATTTTCATCCTTTGATATTTTAATTTTTGATAATTTAATATAGGCTTCTAAGTTTGATTTAGGCTTATTTTAATCTTTTAAGTCAGAATTGTTTTCTTACTATGTTATATCCTTGAATTTTTATTGATTTGAAAACTATTTTGATGTTTAATATAGATATATTTTACAATAAAGATCAGTAATAATAGTAATTATAGATATTTAAAATTGGATTTACTATAGCAATTTTAATATGATTGTACGTATTTAAAATGAAAAAAAGTAAAAATATGATTAGTCAAGAATGATTTTCAAAAAGTCAAGAATAATTTAAAATATTAAATTAAATTTTAAAAGAATTAAATTAAATTTAAAGGATTAAATGAAATAATTTCATAACCTAAATTAAATGTAGAAGATAACAATCTAGCATGTGGATCAATGGTAAAGAGTTGTTTAAATTTATCCTATGATTTTAAGTTTAAGTTTCAATAAAGACGATCATATTAAATATTAAAAGAAAAAAATTTATCACCTAATTGAGTAGTTTGAACTATATTATTTTTAATAAAAGAAACATGTGGCAAGAAAAAAAATTAAAGAATAAAAGAATTTTTTTATAAATTTTTATATTTAAAAGTTATGAATTTAATATTTTTTATGTTCAATATTTAAATATATTATTAACATTTTAAAAATTAAACGATTTTATGTTTTTTATATAATAATTTTTATTAAATATTTTTACTTTTTTAATTAATGCATTAAACATCCATGTCAACTTTATTACGATAAAAAATAGTTAAATGCGTTACTTTAGGTACTCATAATATTTTTTAATTCTAATTTATGTATTACAGTATGAGTATTTTTTTTTCTAAAAAAGTATTTTACATCCGTCTATTTACCCAAGTACTTACTCTCTTTCTTTTCTGTGATATTTTTATTGGGATGACGTTCGGTCGAAAGTTACATAAAAGAGAACCGATCAACACGAAGCGAACCCACGCCACGTGTTGGGTCGAACCCAAACGCCATTGATTTTAGATGCAGTAGTTGTTGGCCCGCACCTTGTTTTCTTTTTTACCTCAATTTCACCGTCATTACATCAAACCAAGGGAAGCTTAACAACTAAGCACTCTCTTCTCCCCTCCCCCTTGCCATTCCAAAAATGGAGTTCCCATACAACCAAGGCCACGCCACCCACACCCACCACCACCACCACCGCAGGGACGACGACGACGACGAACGCCCCGACACTTACCCTCCGCCGGGAAACTCCTTCTCTTCCTACAACCAGCCACCGCCACCTCAGCCGCCCTTCTACGGCGTCCCTCAGCCAGCGCCACCTCAGCCAGAGACCCACGTGTTCCACTCTTCTCACGTGAAATCAGGACACGTGTCCCAGGACTTCAATTATTCCGCTCCCCCTCATCACCAGGGTTACCAACCTGCTCCTCCTGCAGCTGATTATTCCCCTCACGGGGGCAGCACCACCGTCCACCACGTGTCCCATGAAACCCACCATTACCCTCCTACCGTTCACCACGTGGGCCACCAGGTTAGTAACAGCTTCACCGCTTTCTCTGGTAAACCCACTGTGAGGGTTGTCACCAAAGCCGCACCCAATTTCTCACTCACCATTCGTCACGGCCAAGTCATTTTAGCACCGTCCGATCCATCCAATGACCACCAGGTAACCATCTGATCTAATTGCCTTCTCAATTTATTGTTTTTAAATTATTTATTATTTATTATTATTTTGATTGCAGCATTGGTACAAGGATGAGAAGTACAGTACGAGGGTGAAGGATGAAGAGGGTTGCCCTGCTTTTTCTTTGATCAACAGGGCTACGGGTGAGGCCTTGAAGCATTCCATCGGTGCCTCTCATCCTGTGAGATCTCTTTCTTTGCTATTCAATGCGATCTACATGTGAACACGATCACTCTTGGAGCTTTGTTCTTTTCTGTCCATCTGCTGTTCTCATCTGTAAATTCCGATGCTTTTTGCATTGGGATTAGGATTGGGATCACCGCAGTGTCGATTTCCTTTCCTCCAAAATAGAATATAAAAGTGTAACAGTAATTTATCTTCACTTGATAATGAATTTGCAGGTTCGGCTGATACCTTACAATCCAGATTATCTTGATGAGTCAATTCTGTGGTCTGAGAGCAGGGACCTTGGTGATGGGCACAGAACTATAAGAATGGTCAATAATATTCGTCTTAATGTCGATGCTTATCACGGGGATAAGCATTCTGGAGGCGTTCATGATGGCACTACTATAGTCCTCTGGGACTGGAACAAAGGTGATAACCAACGCTGGAGGATCTTACCCTACTGTAAGTTTTTTATCCTTTAACTCCCCGTTTAGTTTATAGTTGATATAATTGATTTTTATCTGTTGATTATGATTTGAGTTTTTTTGGTTGGAAAGTGCGAGGATTGATTTTGTAAGTACCTGTAAAACAAGTCCTTAGTTCCTAGCAAATAGCTATTATGCTTATGCTTTTTTGAGTTTGCCTTCTCAAGGCCAACCTGTTTTGAAACTCTCAGAAGTTTGGGTGTATGCTGTGTTTGTTATCATGATTAATTGATGTCTTTAGAAGTTGCTTGTTGTAACATCTTTCTGCAATGATTATGGTAAATGCAGGAGCACAAGACGGAATTATCAGTAGCTTTGAAGATGCATTGTCTTTTGGTTGAGAGGGTCTCCTCTGTTTGAGTGGTTTGTGCTTGCATGTTTTTTACATAGAGTATGATCAATGGTTTGTATGGCAGTCACTGATACCAGGCACTGGTTAGAGACTTCTTATCAATTGAATAAGTGTGTTTATCTGTTACATACATGTCTCAGTGTCACTGGTGAAGATGCTGATTGCATACAATGGAATACAGTCCGTGTGCCTCGTTTTCTTTTAATGTGATTCAATGTGAACAATTTACTGCTGCTGTTACATCTATCACCTAATAAATATTTATAGCTAACATGTGAAGTACAGTGTCACTAACTATCATAATAAGATAGAAAATGAGGGGATGTTAGATGTAAAATGAATACTTAGAAGAAAGAGATAGAACAAAATCTTAGTTGATATTTCATTTTCCTTGTCAATATTATGGTTATGCGTCATAGCGTCGAGGCACATGAGCTCTTCCTTAGTGCGCACCACGTGTAATTTTTTAAGTGCAATCACAAGGTTTATTCATAGTTCTTTTAAGGCAGGAAAGAAACAGGTATTTTGGTATTTAATTTTCTAGGATGGATCCTTCCGTTTCCAAAAAGAAATAGATAAAATTCTAGCTATTCAATTTTGACTCTACTTTCAGCAAAGGGATCTCATCAGTAGCATATCCCGGTGAGACGAGATTCTAAAAAAAAGTTAGCAAATGAGGATTCATTCAAACAATTTATGAAAGTTAATAAAAATAGTTTATTATCATTTTTGTAGAGTTAAATAAAATTCAGTTTTTCAGTACATACAATAAGAAATTAATAAATAATTTTAAAATAAGTTAAGACATTAATACTATAAATATGTTAAATTTTATGATTTTTGATAAAAGGGTCATTATATGTAAATAGTACGTTTTTAAGCATACGCTAAAAAATATTGAATGAAAAATGAGATATGCAACGAGTTTCCCCTGAAATTTCCTATTTTGACTTCGACGTGAGTCTACTCTCCTCGTGAATAGAGAAATACATATGCCACTATGTTTTTTTATTGGTCGTTACATATGCCGTTGTGCCATCTCCGCACTCTGCATGCTTACCCGGCCCAAACAAGTTAATAACTTTGACAAGATGGAATATGCTATGAGGCCTGTTGGGCCAGTGTCATCATCCTTATAATGCCTCAAGTGGACTACTTTCTTTTTCTGAAAATGCCCGACTCTTTAACTGGGCTGACAATGCCATTTAAGGCCCATGGAGGACCTCAGCGTACATGTACATGGCAATCCTTGCACGCGGCACAGGGAATCACAACCAAGTGTAATTAACGATTGTAAGACATGTGCCACTATGGAAGTTAAGTTTTTATCTTTCTTTAACTTTTTAATCTTTAACTACTTCATCGTTATTTTTTTGGTCAAAATATCATTATTGTAAAAAAATATTATTTTTTCTCTAAAACAACTTAAGTGTCGAAATTAAAAGAATATACAAGTTATTAAGATAAAATTTTGATATTTTTTTAATTTTATCTCTTCACTTAGGAAAGGGAAAACACTTTGTTAGCGAGATAATGGCAATGTTATACGACATTCTTCATAATATGAGGATTTTACGATTGTTAAGCAGTAGGGTAAACTGATGCCATAGCATCCACAGTATTTGGATGAGTATTGTGTGGACATTTGGTGGCATTAGAATGGGCAATAATAATATTGATTTGAATATGGGTGCTTTTTGTCTCTCCCATTATAATTTAGTGATAATAAGTTAGAGAGAGCTAATGATGTATAAGGAAGAGGATCCAATCCTATCGCATGCAAATATCACATCTTGTCTCCGCTCCCTTCCCATGGCCCAAAGAAAAAGGGGTATGAAGGGATCCACAAAGACGCAGTTATAATTTTGTGGAAGTGGAACAAGGGAGACAACCACAAGTGGATTATGGTGTCATATTTTCAAGTTTTTTTTTTTTTTCATAACACAGATTAATTGAATATGTTGTAGAACTCTTCACATAATATTTATTTTGTTGTATTCAAACAATGATAGGGATTCTTTTCCCTCTGAGTTTGAAATTTTCACATTAATTATTGTGTTTTGATTTATTTATTTTTAACTTCTCTATTGTTGCGTTTTTTCCAACAACATATTGCCATAAAATTGATATTGTAGAGAATATTTGATTTTATCTGTATAATAAGATAGAAATATTTTTTAAATATAAATACAAATACATTTTGTGGGTCTTATACTCAGACTTATATCTGTATAATGTAAGGAACCGAATTGGTTGAAAGCAAAAGGACAGCACTGCCATATAACGTGCTTTGGATTTCATATTTAACAAATCATGATCATCCACTTTGTCCAGATAAAATATGTAAAGCGTAGTAACCAACGAATTGAAAGTGAAAATAATTTGCAGTGTAACGGAGGTTCAAATGTGGTAAAAAACAGAAAGGTAATTTACATAAAGTTTCTTGTTCAATATGGTTTAACAATTGATGAAATAAGATCATTTTTCCCCTACACTTGTAAAGAAAGAAAAATGGTAACTGATTATTTTTTATGATGCTAAATGGTGGAGTTCACTTGACGGAAATGTCAGCAAATCTTGAAGATGCGTTATCTTCAAGTTGAGATTACTGTTGACGGCTGAGCTGCTATTTCACATGTTCATCAAATAATTTTGTAAAGGATTATTTATTTATTTTTAAAGTTAATCATTTAAATGCTTTGCATTCTACTTTTTTCCATTTTTTTGTTCAGGAAATTACTTTGCCTTTCTTACCTTTGAGACCTCAAGTTATAATTGTTCAAGCATAAATTTGATGAAATATATTGATTCCTAGTATTATTATCATGCGTTCCTAAAGTTATAAAAAGTCACTAAGAATGTATTAATATCTTGTTTCTGAAGGATTATTTAGATGCAAAAGTAATTTTTACCTTTCTTTCGAAATTAAATTTTACAAATAAATTTTTGAGTTTTACTTTTCCAATAATTAATATACTCTATTTTTTTTAAAAGAATAATGATGAATTAAAAAAGAAGATAAAAAAATAATTTACTTATTTATAACTAATTAATGGGTCATGAATTCCAATTAGTTTAGCTTAGGTTGTGGACTAAATGGCCTAACTATTAAATTCGAATTCTTTTTCTTATTCAATATGCAAAAGAAAAAGATTATCTTACAATGACGTGATTATTTGGTGGATTATTTAAACCTTTTATTTCATCATAATTAACGGCCAACAATTCAATTAGTTAAAACGCTAATTTATAATTCATTAATTCAATCATAGTTTAATTATAATCAAACCAGCAACAATTAAACATATAGTTTTAATATTATATAACATATTAAGTTATATATAGAATGTGACACACACACATATATATATAGAGAGAGAATTTAGATTAACATTAAGATATATATCACAAAATGATCATATTAAATGTCTTACAAGATAAAAATATATATCTATACACATAAGCCTTTGTTGATTTTTAAAAATTAGTATAATTTTTTTAAACAATTAATAAATTTTATTTAATAAAAGTAGACTAAATTAGTATTTTTATCCTCCAATTCAACAGTTAAATCCAATTTAATCATATAATTTTTAAAAATATTTTAAACAAGTTTTTTTATTAATATTTTTATTTAATTTTATGTATTTCAGTTGGTATTGAACTGCTTTAATCAATTTTTGACCAACTCTTTTGCTTTAATAATTTTTTAGATTATTCAGATTGATAACTTCGCTAATTTGATTGGCAATCTTATTTTAAAAACTATGATCATAATTGATTATACAAGTGCAACAATGTTACATGTAAAAAGTTTTTCAAATAGTAGAATTTAAACATTTAGATACCTGAATTTGTGTAAATTTTTTCTAAACGTGTTATTTCACAGAAGCAAGACTTTAGAGCGTTTAAAATAAAATATGTTAAGATTTTAGATGTGGAACTAAATATCCACTAAAACTTACACTATTTTAAACGTGAATATGCTATTGATTTTTTTTCAATTATATTAACAATGTAATTCACTTTTCAAACTATACACGATAGTTTTTTTTTTTTCATGAAATATTATATATTTAATTTAATTATATTTTTTATACCACAGGTGTTTTTTTATTGAAAGTAATCTTATTCGAAGAGGGTAATTACTATGAACAATAAAACTCTACCTCCAAATAATTTAAATATATTTAATATAATAAAATAAATATTCTTTTAAATTATTAAATTTTAAAAACTCATATAATATATTTTAAAATTTTTATTAAAAATTATTTTAATTTAATAATATTTATGCAATACACATAAAACTTACTAATATAACATCTAAATGTATATACTAAAGATGATAAATTCTTAAAGATTACAATTAAAACAATATTTATATTAATTCTGCATGTGTAACTTCTCAAAAATTTATTTTGTAACTATCTATGATAAAATATTTTTTTTTATATTTTCAGTTTTAAATATTATTATTTGAATTATTATTAATGACTTAACAAAATTACAAAATTAAGAATTATTTATACTTTTATCTTTTAAGATATAATAAAATTACAAATATGTTAGCGAGGTAAAAAATAATAATTTAGCTAAGATTTAAATTAACGTTTTGATTAAGCTCAATATAAATATTAGAATACTGTTAATTTTATTAAGTTATTATTTTATTATTTAAAGTAATCGACTAAATTTTTATTAACATGTTTTTTTATTGGTATTATCATTTATAAATTTTTTTATAGCAATTAATAATGTTATAATATTGAAATATATAATAATTTAATTTTTAATTATAGAAAAATAATAAATTACTTTAATTAAGGCATATTATTTTCATGTCTACTTGGAGGAAGAACTTTGCTGCTTATGGTAAAACAAGATTGCTTCAAGTGTAGGATATTTGAAATTTAGAAAAAAAATTATTATTTCTATGTTTATTAATTTAATTTGATAGTCATAATCTTAAATGCAAAATTGATTTAATTCTAACAATAATATCTAAAATAGTAAATTAATAAAAGATATTTGATGTAAGAAAAATCACATATTTTTTTAAAGAGAAAATCCTAATAAAAACTTTATTGTTATTAAAGATTGATTATTCAAATTTACGATATAAGATTGGATTTACTGAAAAATGAGTGTTACTACTAGGAAAGATCAAGACACGTTAAATGAACTTTGGATATTTTAACTCTGACTTGTCCAATGAATTTGAATAATTTTTTTTTTTAACAAATCTTCGTAGAAGAAAAAAATGAATTGATAAAAAAATTTAAAATTAACTTATATGTTTTAGCTTTTTATAGTTTCTTGAAGTCAAAATAGATGTATTTATTTTTATTTATAAGAAAAGATAAATATGTTTTATAATTTTAATTTACTTTATTTTTAATATATATTTATTAAAACATTTATCCGAATTGACTCTTATTATATACTTTGATAATTATATTTTAGGTCCATCTACTACATTTTGATTATACTTAAGTCAT